AGTGCATGCACTTAACTGCTTGCACCACTGGGCCGGCCCCACGTCTTTTCACTTTTTTGATGCCATATTTTCCAGCAGAGAAGTTTTTAATATTGCTGAAATCCCATTTATCTGTTTTTTTTTTTCTTTTTCCACTTTTGATTTTGGTGTAATAACAAACCGTTATCTAACCTAAATTGTAGCTCTTACATTGAGGTCTGATCCATTTGGTATTTATTTTTGTATGTGGTGTGAGATAAGAGGTTCAACTTTATCCTTTTGCGTGTAGATTTCCAGTTGTCCCAGCACCATATGTTGAAAAGACTACTTCCTATTGAATTATCTTGACACCCTTATTGAATATCCCTTGATTCTAAATGCAAGGGTTTATTTTTGGCCTTTAAATTCTATTTCATTTATCTCTCTACCTTATGTCCAGGCTGTCTGGTAGTATTGTAGTAAGTTTTGTGTGTAAATTTTGTAGTAGTAAATTTTGTGTAGTAAATGTGTGTGTTTTGTAGTAATTTTTGAAATCTAGAAGTGTGAAGCCTCCTACTTGTTTCTTTTTCATGATTGTTTTGGCTATTCTGAGACCCTTAAATTTCCGTATGAATTTTAGGATTATTTTGTCAATTGCTATAAAAAAAGATCTGGAATTTTGGTAAGGATCACATTTAATCTGTAGATCATTTTGTGGCGTGCTGCCATTTAACTATTAATTCTCCCAGTCCATTAACATGGAATATCTTTCCATTAATTTAGTCTTCTTTAATTTCCTTCAACACTGTTTTGTAATTTTCACTGTAAAAAGTCTTATACTTCTTTTTAAAACTTTATTCCAAATATTTTGCTGTTTCTCATGATATTGAAAATAGAATATTTTCGTAATTTCATTTCATTACGAGAATAGAAATTCTCGTAATTTCATTTTTGATTCATTGCTGGTGTATAGGAAGAAAATTATTTTTCTGTTGATCTTGTATCTTCCAGTCCTTCTGAACTCATTAGAATTGCTTCTTTTTGTTCTAATAGTTTTAATATTAGGGGTTTTTTTTGGTGGATTCCTTACGATTTTTATGTATAAGATTACATCCCCTATGAGTACAGATCATTGTATATCTTTCTTTCCAATGTCATTGATTTTTATTTCTTTTTCCTGCCTAATTACCCTGGCTAAAATCTCCTGTACAATATTGGCAAGAGCAATTTTCCTTGTCTTGTTTCTGGTTTTACGGAAAATACACTTAATTGACCATTAATTACAACGATAGCTGTACAATTTTTGTAGGTGCAGTATTTCAAGTATAGAAAGTTCTCTTCTGTTCCTAATTTGTTGAGGGCTTTTTTTTTTATCATGAATGGTTGTCATGAAATTTTTCAAATGTTTTTTCTGCATTTGTTGATATGATCATGAGGTTTCATCTTTATCCTATAAATATGGTGTATTAAATTCATTGATTTTCAGATATTAAACCAACTTTTCTTTGCTGAGATAAGTCACATTTGGTCATGGTGTATAGTCCTTTATATTCATTTCTGGATTTGGTTTGCAGTGTTTTGTTGGAGATTTTTGCGTCTCTATTCATAAGGTAGCTTGCTCTGTAGTTTTCTTGTTTTATCTTTGTCTTATTTTGATATCAGGCTATTACTGGCCTCAGAATGAATTGGGAAGCATTTCTTCTCTAATATTTTTTGGAACATTATGTGAAGGATTGGTATTAATTCTTGTTTGTTTCATAGAATCACCATTGAAATGGTCTGTTCATGGGCTTTTTTTGTGGGAATTTTATAGATTAATTATTGAATTCGTTTTTATATGTCTATTCAGATTTTGCTTCTTGAGTCAGATTTGATTGTGTCTTTCTAGTAATGTATCCATTTTGTCTAAGATATCTAATTGACATACACTTTTTGATAGTATTCCTTTGTAATTCTTTTTGTTCCTGTAGGGTTGGTAATAATGTCCCCTCTCTTATTCCTGATCATATTTCTTTGAGTTTTCTCTCTTTTTTTCATTGTCAGTCTAGCTACAGGTTTGTCTGTTCTTTTTTGATTGTTTCGAAGAACCAAATTTAGTTTCCTTGATTTTCTCGACTTTTTTGTGTTCTTTCTTTCACTTATTTCTATTCTAACCTGTATTATTTCCTTCTTCCTGATTCATTTGGGTTTAATTTGTTCTTTTTCAAATTTCTTAATGTAGATATTTTGCTTATTGATTTGAGATCTTCAGTTTTAATGTAGGCAGTTGCAGCTACAGTTCTCCTCAGCACTGTTTTTGTTGCATCTAGTAAATTTTATATATTCTGTTTACATTTTCATTCATAATATTTTCTGATTCTCTTTGTGATTTCTTTTTTGACCTATTGGTTGTTTAGGAGTTTGTTGTTTAATTTCCACATATTTGTGAATTTCCCAGATATCATTGTTATGGATTTCTAATTTCATTTCATCATAGGAGAACATACTTTGTGATTTCAATTCTTTTAAGTTTATTGAGACTTGTTTTGTGTGGTTTTTTTTGTTTTGTTTTTTTTGCTGAGGAAGTGTCACCCTGAACTAACATCTGTTAGATCAAGCAAAAAGAGGAAGATTCGCCCTGAGCTAACATCTGTGCCGGTTTTCCTCTATTTTGTATGTGGGTTGCTGCCACAGCATGGCCGCCGATGAGTGGTGTAGGTCTGTGCCTGGGAACTGAACCTGGGCTGCCAAAGCGGAGAGCACTGAACTTAACCACCAGGCCACAGGGCTGGCCCCTGTTTTGTGTCTTAGCATATGATCTATCCTGGAAAATGTTCCATGTGCATTTGAAAATAATGTGTATTCTGTAGTTCTTGTTATTCTGCAGTTGCTATAGATGTTTAATAAGTCAAATGGTTTTATAGAGTTGTTCAGGTCTTCTGTTTCCTCATTGATCTTCTGCCTAGTTGTTCTATTATTGAAAGTGTAGTAAAGATGTCTCCAACTACAGTCATGCACCACATAATGAGGTTTTGGTCTATGATGGACCACATATACTATGGTGGTCCCAATAGATTAGTACCGTATAACCTAGGTGTGTAGGACGCTATACCATCTAGTTTTGTTTAAGTACACTCTATGATGTTTGTACATCGACAAAATCACCAACAACACATTTCTCAGAACATATCCCTGTCATTAAGTGATGCATCGCAGTATTATTGCCGAATTATCTATTTTTTCCTCTGTTTCTGCTATTTTTTTCTTATTTTTGGTGTTCTGTTGTTAGGCGCATATATGTTTATAACTCTTAATATTTTCCTGATAGATTGATCCTTTGATTATAATAAAATATCCTTATTTATCTCTAGTGACAATCTTTTCTTAGTTCTATTTTATATTAGGATAGCTACTCCAACTGTCTTTTGTTTACTATTTGCCTGGTAGGTCTTTTTCCATCCTTTACTTGCAAACTTTTTGTGCCTTTGAATCTAAAATGTGTGTCTTATAGATAGCATATAGGTGGATTATATTTTTTAAATCTATTTTGCCAAACTCTGCCTTTTGATGGACTATTTTTCTTTATATTTAATGTAATTACTGATAAGGTAGGACTGATGCCTGTTGTTTTCCTGTTTGTTTTCCATGTGTTTTATGTCTTTTTATTCCTCTATTCCTCTATTCCTGACTTCTTTTGGGTTAAATATTTTCTTGTACCATTTTCATTTCCTTATTTCTTTACTGTATTTTTTGAGTTATTTTTTTTCATGGTTTTTGTGGTATTTCAATTAACATCTTACCTTAAAATAATTGATTTCAGATTAATACCAACTTAATATCAGTTGTATACAAAACTTCCTCCACTATATCTTTGTTTCATCCTCTCCCCTTTGTGTTGTTTTTATTATATAAATTACATCTGTATACAATGTAAGCACATCAACACAATTTTCTAGTTATTCCTTTATGCTGTTGTTTTTAAGTAAGAAATGAGAAGAAAAGTGTTACAAATAAAAATCGATTTTTTTGTCTTTTATATTTATTTATGCACTTACTTTTACAAGTGCTCTTTATTTTTCATGTATACAAGTTATTGTCTAGTGTCTTTATTTCTGCCTAAGACACCATTTTGTATCTTTTCTAGTGCATGTCTGCTAGCATGGAATTCTTTTAATTTTTGTTTATCTGAGAATGTCATAATTTCTCCTTCATTTATCAGGGGTAGTTTTGCTAGTTACAGAATTCTCAGTTGACTTTGTTTTTTCCTTTGGTAGTTTGAATATACCATCCCACTGTTTTCTGGTCTCTGTAATTTATGATGATAAATCAGCTTTAACTTATTGATGATCCATTGTATGTGATGAGTTGTTTTTCTCTTGCTGCATTCAAGATTCTGAAGTCAATTTGACAGTTTATCATGAATCTAGATGTGAATGTCTCTGATTTTATCCTTTTTGGCATACATTGATCTCCTTGCATGTATAGATTAATATTTTTTCATCACATTTGGTAAGTTTTTGGCCATTATTTGTTCACATATTCTTTCTGTCTCCTTCTCCTCTCCTCTGTTTGACTCCTGTTATATTTGTTATATTTACTGAGATGAGTTTGTTTTCATTATCTTATAATAAGAAAACTTAAGGCTATATATAATATTGGCTGAATCTCATAAGTAGTATTCTTGTTTTATTGTTTGCTAAATGTTTGATTATAATTTACATTTCTTTTTTTGACCCAGTAGTTATTTACTGTGATGCTTCATGTTGAAGATTTCTGGTTTGAACTACTTTTTCTAAAAAATATATATATATATTTTTCCTGGATATAT